TCATCGTAACGTTACCGAGCGTTACACTTTTTCATAAGTGACTCCCAGCCGCAACCTAATTTAAGACGTTGTCACGTCAAAAATTTCCCTTCATTTTTTTCATTCCATTGCATTATACATCAACAAGTTTTATGTTCAAAAGCGTTTTAAACGTTTGGAACATAGGGAGTCAGCTGAACACACTGATTTAGTTATTCACAAGGACGTCAGGTGGTTGAGTCGCGGAAAATCCCTAGAAAGGTTTCAAGAATTATTGCCCGAAATAACAGCTTTTCTAGATGAAAGAGGTGATGGTGAGGTGACACTCAGATGTTGAAAAACGAAAAATGCCCGACTGATTTGGCATTTTTGACTGACATCACAATGCACTTAAACACCATTAACTTGGAGCTTCAAGGTAAAGGAAATACTATTATTGAGATGATTAGCGCAGTAAATGCATTCAAAAGTAAATTGCAACTTATGATCAACTGAAAAGAAAGGTTCTGAAACATTTTCCGTCTTTGAAAGCAAGGATTCCACAGTTGAACGTACGAGGCTACGTACGTACGAGGAGGGGATACGTTATACGTATGAGGCTAAATTATCAAATATTTTGGGACAATTCGAAATGCGTTTTTATGATTGCAGTAAATTGGCAAATTTAGCATTATTTATGAGTTATCCTTTTTAATGTAAAAACATAGCAAGTCAGTTTAATATGAACTTTTGAAACTTGAAAATGAGTAGGTGTAGATTATATCAGATATAAATCTCGAAGCACAGCATCTGATACTTTCTGGTGTTTTATATTTGAAGATAAATATCCGAATCTAAGGCAAATCGCCCTTCAACTGACGGCAATGTTTGGGTCAACTTACTTGTGCGAGTCTGCATTTTCTGAAATGAAGATAATTAAGTCAAAATATCACAATCGACTAACTGACGATCATATGTCATCATACTTGCGATTAGCACTCAGTGGTTATGTACCATCTTATGAAAAGTACGCTGAGGCCATGCAGTGCCACGCTTCAACACCCAAAGTCACTCCTTAGTTAAGTTTAACACCATAAGTAACTCTTTTGTTTTGTAACAACTAATGAACTCGCAATTTATTCAAAATTCAAAAGTTAGTTTATTTAGTTTTAGTTATTCAAACTATGAGTTTTTTCACTGATATTGTAGAGAAGAACCTAAATAACCCAACCCAAGCCTTGACTAAAATAATGTATATTGTGTGGAAAGCTAATATCTATTTATGCTATGGTACGTACACTCTACCTAGGTAGGTAGGTAGGTGGGGTGTATCGTGTATGTACGACATCCCTGCATCACACATACTAAAAAAGGTAAAAGTTACACAAAAAATATGTATGTTGCATTGTTCCCCTATAAAAGATCTATTAAAAAGTAGTCTGCGACAACATCGCATTATTTACAACTATAAAAAAGTAAAGAAAATATAACTAGAAAAAATTCCACGCGGACCAGGCAGCAGACGGGACTCGAACCCGCACCCTTCGCAATCCGGGCGAATGCACTGACCAATTATGCTACCGCGGCCCTCACGGACCGCGTCGAAATTCTGTCTAGCTATTTTTTTTTTTTTTAAGCTGCAAGGCAGTTACATGCTTTAAAAAAATAATAAAAATTATAACTATAATTGCTATTTCTTCTTTCAAATGTTTAATACTTGTAAAAGTATTCATTTGACATTGTGGGTTTACCTATAATGCGAAGAGATGGCGCTGCCTTGCAGCTTAAAAAAAAAAAAAAAAAAAAAAAAATAGCTAGACAGAATTTCGACGCGGTCCGTGAGGGCCGCGGTAGCATAATTGGTCAGTGCATTCGCCCGGATTGCGAAGGGTGCGGGTTCGAGTCCCGTCTGCTGCCTGGTCCGCGTGGAATTTTTTCTAGTTATATTTTCTTTAGATTTAAACATCAAGCAGTTACATGCTTTAAAAAAATAATAAAAATTATAACTATAATTGCTATTTCTTCTTTCAAATGTTTAATACTTGTAAAAGTATTCATTTGACATTGTGGGTTTACCTATAATGCGAAGAGATGGCGCTGCCTTGCAGCTTAAAAAAAAAAAAAAAAAAAAAAATAGCTAGACAGAATTTCGACGCGGTCCGTGAGGGCCGCGGTAGCATAATTGGTCAGTGCATTCGCCCGGATTGCGAAGGGTGCGGGTTCGAGTCCCGTCTGCTGCCTGGTCCGCGTGGAATTTTTTCTAGTTATATTTTCTTTAGATTTAAACATCAAGCAGTTACATGCTTTAAAAAAATAATAAAAATTATAACTATAAAAAAGTAGTCTGCGAAACTGGAAAAAATAGGTTAACTACATGTCCACTTCGCTATACTTACTCTAAAATATGTATTTTTGTAATAGGGAAGATGCAATATTTTTATTTTTGTTTTCATTTTAAAGAATTCCATGTAGAATAAACCACAGATATATTAAAAAATTAAAACATTGTGATTTATCGGAAAAAATGCGGTTTTAAATTGACAATTTAAATTTTCGCGCGAAAACGAACCTATGGTTGCGATGACGTCACTCCTGTCTGTCAATGGTCGTAATTGTTCATTGCTGGGTTAAAATTTTCATACTTTTGCATATTTTTTCGACTTTCGAAATATTTTTTTGAAAAAATTAAAATGGACTATCCATCAACATCATGTGATCATAACAATACCACTAATATTCCGAAAAAAAGCCGTGTTGACTCATGTTTTGTGCCAAACTACTTCAACAAAGTTCCCAAATAAATTGTTTTTGACTGGAACTTCTGACCCAAAACTGAAAAAAAAGTGGTTTCAAGCTGCGAAGAGAAATGACAATTATTCTCCAAAGATCATTATTCGATGCTGAGAAGATCACTTTGACGTAAGTCGGCGAATATACTTGTTACATGCTTAATTAATCTGCTTGTACGTAAAAACGCATTAGTAACCTACCTAATACTTACAAAACCTGTATATAACATATTTTTACTTTTACAGTTGGAGAATGACTTCGAAAATTAGATAAAGTTTAAAATGTGTGGCACAATCTTCACATTGGCAGGACTGAACCAAGCTTTGCGTTTCCTTTTTAAATAACTGTAACACGATAACCTTCTTTACGTACTTTATGCTCCGGAGAACTCGACCTTTTACTGTACATAATTTTCCATCTCTTTTAATTTGGACATAGCCGATTGCATTATCGCCGTAAGATTTGTAGAAGCCGCTGAATAAAATACGAAGTTTAACAACTACGATTTTTACATACCGTAGTAATTTAGTCCCTTTCATTTCTACACTTAAAAACTCTGCGCTTTGGGCAAAAAAAGTTATAACCATAACGCTAACTCTTGGTAAATTCCTGGAGTCTGCTTTGGTAAACGCAACTTCCATTTTTATTAAATGTAAAAAAACGCAATATATATTCCCATAAAATAATATTTACTTTAACAACCATAACCTTAAAGAAGTTGTCATAACAGGAGTGACGTCACTAAACGCTGATTGGTGTTTTAAAATACTTTCCGTTTCAAGTATTTTTAATTCGTAATAATTGTTAAAAAACAACATTATGTAAAATAAAAACCTTGCAGTGGCATTTCTTTTATATTTTTTTAACATTTTAATCATAAAATTTTCATAAATATTATATATGCATCTTCCCTATTATTGTCTCGTAACCATCAATTTTTACCAGTTTTCTTTATCATTTATTAATTGATGTAGAAGTAACGACGATAGTTCAAGAGTTTTGCGGTGGCCAATGCCAAAAGAAAGTATATAGAGGTAACTTTGTCGGACCACACAAAATTATGTTTATGCAGTAGGAACTCATTTTCGATTTTTTCTAATATTTATATTAGAAAAATTTTCTAAGTCTTCGGTTTTTCGCCGTGAACGTATCGATATTTTAATTCTTTTTAAAATCATTAATGGTATAAAGATGCTCCTGCTTTGTTACACTCTCTTTCTTTCAAGGTTCCCCGTCGCTGTAAATGAACTTGTAGAAAGAAACCTCTTTTTAATATTCCCCGTAGTCGGACAGCATATGCAAGTAATGGTTTCATAAAAGGAGCCTGCAGGTTGTATAATGATAAATTTGTGAATTTGGACTTATTTCGTCATAAATTAGTTAGATTTAAAAAATGTCTATGCCACTTGTACTTTGTAATCTGATTAGGCCTATTCTTGTAAAATGATTTTATAACTTACATTAATATTATTAGATATTTATTGCTGGCACAGTACATTGTTTGTATAGTATTACTTAAATCAAAATCAATTTTGCTTTTTAGCTTATATTTGCTTTCATTGAGGAAACTGTAAGTCTAACACCATTTTTTTTTTATGTTTACATTATTTGTAACTATGTGAGACTGTTTGTTTCTTAAAAAAACGACGGGTTGCACTCCGGGATCGCCGGCATTTTGGAATGGTTAGGGAATAATTTTGCACGAATTGCTTTAATTATCAGTATAAAAGTGCTATCATGTATGTGGTAGAATACAATATTTATTTAATGCGCTATTGTACACAAACATGACAATTTATATTACATTAAAAAAGTTTATCTCTCAGAAAAATCAACTTACATGAATCACATTTAAGCGCACCTAGCGGCGACATCTATTGTAAAAATAATGCATTTTCTTCGCAATAAAGCTGCCACGCGGACGTCCTAGATAGAGACTTATTATTATAATACGATAAAATAAAATATTACTATGTTTCGTCCAATATACAAGTAAAAGTCAACAACCTTTCCAATTTTATTGTGTCATGATGCGATCAGCCCACGTGTTTAACCTGAAGCGAGTTTAACATTTTTTACCCATACAAAAAAAGTGTACAACGCCGCTAAGCTGTTTTCACTTCAAAAAAAAATACCTATGTCTATCTTTTAAGGATGACCATCTATAACCATTTTCCTTAAATTAATGCGGGTGAAACCGCAGGGCACCGATAGCAAGGTTAATAAAAAGAAAAAAATAACAATAAAACAATATTTTATTCAAAATGAAAGACGATACATACAAATGGAAAATATAAGTCATAATTTCAACTTAAATTGTTTAACAATGCATTGCTTATCGATAAAGTAAAAAAGCTATGATTCCAATTAGGAAATACTGTGAATAATAATGTCTTAAAGTTTATGCTTATGTGCAGAGGGTCTAAGACGAGTGTCTATAAAATGCAGACAATACTTTATATATTTTTTTATCTAAGGAGTTATTAGAATGCGAGACCGGCGTCCGCGTAGGTGGTGAATATCTTCTCGATGGAATTGGCGTACGCCGCCGTTCTCAGATCTAAGCCCAGGTTGAACTTCAGGGCAGTCTTCATGATGGCCTGTGGAGGTAAAAAAAATATTTAGGAAATTCGCTTAGCAAAAATAAACAATAGTAATCTATCTAACACGACATCCAACATCATTAATAATTTAGCAGTGGTGTTGATTCTGGCATGATTCTCTAAATATAAACTTTATGTATATTAATATCATTAATGCGTAAGCAACTGTAAGCTACTTTATTATTGAGCTATATTGGGATATATAGGGGTCTAGACCCCTGAACAAAATTTGATGAAATTTAATATACAGATAGTTATAATGAATGTTAAGAATGAAAGAAAGAAATGTGTGGTAATTTCTATTAAATGACTTATCGAAAGAGGTAGTGGCAAACAAGAAACAAAAGAAAAATGGCAGAATACAAACTTTTTTGACATTCACAGTTAAGGGCTAACGAAATCTATACATATAATCAAATGATAGGAATGTCAAAACTGTACATTGAATATCTTTTTAAAGGAATACTTGGGGTGTGATCTACAACCCATACCGATGCCAAAAATATACCTAGTTTTTAGAATTTTTGTCTGTTTGTCTATATGTATGTCCGGGATAAACTCAAAAAGTACTGCATGGATTTACTTCTAAGGATATTGCTCGTTCCCCATACATTGAGGGCACTAGAACAGAACGCACAGCAATGAGAAAATGCTAGTTGTGTTTAGAATCATTCATAAACTCTAATTAGGCATTTGTTGAGATACGGACAACTTGAGGAACTGTGGTCTACTACAGAATGTATTATATTTTGAGGTTGTAATTATTATACTTAATCGTAAAAGATGTACACTTTATATATTCTGAACAGATTTATTGTTTACCTCTATGTAAGCACTTACATATTATGCACTAAATGAACATAAAATGCAATTAATAATAAAAATAATAAATGCTTATATTCATATTGATTTATGAGTGTTGGCAGTTGGCACCTATGAAACCTACCTGTTGTATTAATAGATTTCTTTTCAAATGAAATGTTCAAAGTCTTTTCGTTTACCTGTTTCTATATTTTACCATCGGTAATTAGGTATGTAACTGGTTATCATTATGATTTTCATAAAAATAAACAGATATTATATGGCATGGGAGTATAAACTATCTTTACATAATTTCAGAAATAATCTTTTTATAAATATAATATAGATACTAGTATTATTAACTAAGGTACCTAGTTCTATTCTTATGTTGACAAATACCTATGGTCGCCTATATTGCATTTATTAAGGTAAACAATCTTGGCACAACTTTTTAACAAAATCACCCATTTAAATATAAAAGAATAACCAATAAACTATTAAAATAAACCGTTATTATAGACCGATACCTATTGAATCCAGTTGTTTTTTAATGCTGTATTTTCAATAAAAAGAAGTGCCAAGATTGTTTACCAAATAGGACAAGTTAGGATGAACAGACTGTAGTATCTAGAAACAGAACTTTTATTTTTTATTTTTTTAAACAGATTGTCCGTTTACTATGGTTAATTGCTAATAAGTTAAAAAAATAATAGTGAATGACATTCTTTTGGGCATGCTAGGGCCGATTTCGTCGATGTCCTTTGTCACGAATATTATTAAGAAGTAGAGTCAACATATAGGTTACATATTATCACGCTATCACCTACGGGGAACGAGCAGTGAACCTTTATTTCTACTAACTCCACGCGTACGAAGTCGCAGGCGGCCGCTAGTGAAGTATCATAAAATGATTGCTTACCCTAGCGGACCTCTCCATAGTGTAGTCGAGGCCGGAGTGCACAATGTCTTTTTCTGAAGCACCAGAGATCCTCTTCTGGAAGGATTCAGATGCGGTCACGGGGATGCGACCTCCGACGCGGCCGAAACGCCTCTCGAGCGACTCCTGTACCGACTCTGTGAAGTGAAAAAAATATTTTAAACTAAACAAAATTTTACTAGAAAAATATCCACGCGGACCAGGCAACAGACGGGGCTCGAACCAGCACCCTACGCTATCCCGGCGAATGCACTGATCATTAGCCGTGTCGAATTTTCTCTAACCTTTCTTAAGCTTTTAATTAGATTTTTTTAAATATAGATACAAGGGTGTACATGCAATAAGCATTTAAAGTGGAAGCAAGTAAAATATATAGGTAGATTTTATATTGTGGAACATATAGGAAAACTTCACGAGAAAAAAATATTGTATTATCATTTATATTACTTCTTATTGTGTATTTGCTAAATGAACAATAATTATTGTTATTATTACATCAAGCATAAAACTTGTTACCAATTAATGGTTTTTAATTATTATTTGACATAACTATTAGTGCTTTTGTTGCCATTAATAGGATTATTGCAAAGTTATATTTGCGTCAACTAAATTGTGTAATTTTAAAATCGAAGATTCATGACAATCAGTTGTTTCAAATAATAATTGGGATATAAATTTCATTTTCACCAATGTTGCAATAAGAATTTAGGGAGTGTTCGCACTATGTAAGACTTCTAAAGATAGCTGCATAGTATTGGGGCGTAAATCTTTTTAGATAATTTTCTGTGTAAAAAATCACTATAACGCAGAATGTGTGTCGCGAAATGATAAAATATAATATTGATCGGTTTCAAGGGAAACACACATTTTATACAACTATTGCCTGAGAAGAGGAAGCAATACATTGGCTTTCCATGAAGATATTCCTATTTAGAATCCTGATATTGAGGTTAAATAAACAATGACAAGTTTCTATGTATGTGATGACCTCGGTGGCCAAGTGGTAGATATCTACGCCGGGTTTCAAGGTGTCGCCTACTCATGAGTGCCCGGGTTTGAATCCCGGTGGGACAAATGTTAGTGTGACAAATAAGAGCATTTTTACCTAAATCATGGATGTTTATATGAATTCCTTTATAAAATATACATATATACGTAGGTATATGAATTATATCCGTTACCCTAGTATCCACAGACCACAGTTATGTGCTATGCTAGTATCCCATAAAACAAGCCCTTCAGTGCTTACTTTGTGGCTAGGCTAATTGGTGTGAGTTATGGAAATATTTATTAATGCGTCTTTATTACAGGAGCTATTGCTTGTAATTAGGCATCTGACTATTTAATCTTAAAAGTATTAGCTACTTTAATGAAAATAAAATTTAAGCAGGTATGTAGATAAGTAAACATATTTCCATTGAAACAGTACGAAAACTCACCCAACAAATGGTAATTGGATTCGCGCTCGTATTTGAACGTGAGACGACCGTAGGAGACGTGGTTCAAGTTCTTGAGCCACTCGAAAAAGGAGACGGTGACACCGCCAGCGTTGATGTACAGGTCGGGGATGACGAGGATGTTGCGGTCGATGAGGATCTTGTCGGCGGCCGGCGTCGTCGGACCGTTCGCAGCTTCAGCGATGATCTGCAGAACATTTTATCAGCAGTGTTGCCATGACCGATAAGCAAAATAAATGACTGTATAAATAGTAACATTTTGGACTTCTTGTGTTGTTCTAACGACCTACGAATGTCCTCCTTACATTAACAAAGCAAAGAGAGCCAAGGTCATAAATGAAATCACTTATTATTTTTCAGTTAAAAGGAATTTGGCATTTGGTAAATGAAAAATATTTCATATTTTCTTTCAATTAAAATTGATTGCAAAAGTAACGTTTTGAGCCAGGAACGCGAAGACAATGCCACAAGGCCAAAAGTAACTAACATATGTTACAAAAGTAACGTAATGGCAACGCTTTTTATCAATGTCATTCAAGTAATGTAGCTAATTGCGATGCTGCTTCCACCCCAGGGGGTCTAACTGGAGCTCTTTGGAAATCACGGACTGCTCTTCTAGAAAGTTTTGTGATAAAGATAGTAAAAGAAATATATACACACACATGTCCTAACGTTGTGTATTATTTTTCCCTACTCCGTATTTCCCAGTAATCCGGTGTCTGAATTAACGTCAGATTACCGAGATTGTATCTATTCACTATTGGGAGTTCACCTAAATCACTTTCACTGGCCAAATCTTTTATAAAATATTTAGGGAGAATTTAGGTGAAAAGAGCTATGCCGCTTCAGCAACTGAGAAAGGAGCTATGCCGCTTCGGCAACTGGTTTCGAATGAATGGTGGTCCCAAGAGTTAGTATAGCAAATAATAACAAAAATTTTGGTAGAAAATTTTATCCTATTTTTCAATATACTGATGATTTATCAATAAGTAAGTATATTGAAAAACAGGATAAACTAATCAGACGCATTAAGTCCCAACAACAGCAATGAGAACTTAAGATTTCGATAAATAAATACATAGTGTTAAATTAAATATAATATCTATCTAATGCAGTATAACTTAATTATTATTGACGTATGAGTTGCCATTTTCCTCATGCGGCAGACTTGTAGTATTCATATTTGACATTAATATAACGCTCAGAATTATTCAGCACAGTGCACACATTAAGATATGAATAAAACATCTTGATAAGAAATAATTAGTTTACATTGTGAAAAGCTAAGAAAAATTGGTTGAAACAGCGAGACGCGCGGCCTTGTCAGCACCTACCATGTATGTAATTATGGTTATCTTATCACATACTGACATTAAATTAAGTACACTTACGAATAGCTTTGTTAAAATGTTATTTATTACCTCTCCAATACATAAATATATTAGTTTTCTTTTTAAATGTGAAAAGGGTAGCAAACACGTCTCAGTACGAGTCGTCTGCGATATTTCTGGCTAAGTACATCCACTACCCCGTGAAGCCATGGAAAAGTAAATCACGTGGCTATAAAAGTAACTGGCCGAAGTACACTTCGATTAAGGAAAAAAATGGGTGCGTGTACTTATGTAGGCGCGTGAGAAGTTATCCTTCTTTGGCATCGTTTAAAATTAGTTTTTAATTGCATGCAAATAATTAATAACAATAAATTAATAAAAAGTCTGGAAAAGGACGAAGTCAATAAAGTTCAGTTTTAATTTGAAAAAATAAATAAATAATCAAAATATTCAATTAAAATCGCTACTGAATATAATTTATTAGAACATATGTGATTTGCACTTGTATGAAACTCAAACACGTATTCCGAATATACAAACTAGAAACATGTGGATAAATATTATAAATATGAATACCTATAACTGTTACTTTATTACAAAAAATAAAGATGTGGTTTTTGGTTCTACTACACCAATGGTCAAGAGATGGCGCTGTAGTCTCCTGAATCGCGCTTTGGTTCCGTTGTTCCAGATTAATAAATACTTTTTGTTACTTTATTACAAAAAATAAAGATGAGGTTTTTGGTTCTACTACACCAATGGTCAAGAGATGGCGCTGTAGTCTCCTGAATCGCGCTTTGGTTCCGTTGTTCCAGATTAATAAATACTTTTGATAGGCCTTCACAATGCAGTCGTTAGCACCCACTAAATAGAGATTCTATTTCTATTTTGTTGGTAGATTTTCTTAATGTGCGGTAAACACAAAAGTAACGTTAAAATGTTAGTTATGTTAAAATTTTGTGTTACAGTGATGCGCGCGCATCTTAAAATTTCACTCTCATCATTTTTTCATAACGCGCCTAAAGAAGTATAACTTCAAAAAACATAACTGTGAAAATGAAAATTTAATTGACATTGTACCCAACGCGGCACGAGCCAGTGTACTAATTAAATGATGATTAAATCTGTGAACTGACTTGCTCGCATTTTTTGCGTAATCTCGATCGTTATCATTATCGATAACGACCACACTAAGTTATATAACGTCAAACAATAAAGTTAATTCTGTCTGTCACTTGCGAATAACAATAAAATGACACCACACGTGATTTCTATTCGTTTGTCTTCTCTAAATGTGATCGTTGCATAACAGTTTTGGCGGTTGTCACTTATCATACTATGCTAATGTTATAAAGAAGTTTGTGAGGTTGTGAGGTTTAGGATGTAATCTCTGAATCTACTGAATCGATTTTAAAAAATCTTTTACCAATAGACAGCCAGGTTATTTGTGAGTGTCACATAGGCTATATTGATATTACTTATATCGGGTAGATACCCGAAAAATTATGTCACAGGCGGCCGCTATGATTAATAAATCAAGGCATCTAAGCTTTGGCAAGCAAGCTTTTTTTACTGAAGCAAGATTGAATAATCCGTTTTTTAAAACAAAGTTGTAATTTTGCCAATGCTTCAGAATTGCAGTAATTAAATTTCGAATGTTATAAAGAAAAATAAATAAATAAATGCTTTCTACGCCGCATATAACCACTATTTAGCGGGTATTTCTTGGCTTCGGACTTGATCAAACAAAATAGGAACCAGCTACACTAATAGTTATCTGTGATATATCAAATTGTTATTAATACCGTGTCAATAGATCTAGCTGTACAATAGGTACCTGTTATCTTGACATAAAAGTATACCTATCTTTATAGCTTTATCTTCATTAAGATTAAAATCGTATGACCCCACATCGTAGCACTTTAGATAGGTATTTTTTTTTGTAATCGAAGTGTGAATTTATGCGTAGTGACTAGTGAGTTTGTTTGTTACGACACCTGAACTGCTGCTGAACCAATTATAATAAATTTAAATATAGTGGTGCTCTAAGTATGATTATAGACTTTCTTTTTTAATTTTACCTTAGCCTGGATTTTGTGGGCGTTCTCTTTGTGGATGACTTGCTCCACAGCAGCTGGGACAAGGATGTCGCATTTTTCGTACAACATGTTCTCTCCTTCGTAGGCCTTCGCCCCCGGGAACCCGACAATGGTGCCATTGTCTATCCTGTAGTCTTCCAGGGCCTATAAGGAAAAAACGATAAAATTTAAAAAGGTACCTACTTATGTGACACTATATTTTTTAAGGAATATAATTTAACAATTTTATTATTGAAATATCTAATATTTTGGTACATTTTGTTAGAATTTAAGGGTAAAAACCTATTTCATCATCATATTACCTATCTGATATTTGATAGTTTAGGTCACTCGTAAGGTTTTGATATCATTCGTTTAGATAAAATGCGAGTAGATATAATCAAACAAGTCGAAAAAAATAAAAGTATGATCATTTCAATGGGATTGATTGTTTCCGTGGAATATATTTATCGCAATCATAATACTTAATCTTTAATCATTCAAATTATGTCATCATATCTATATAGTACCTAGCATTTTCCTTAGCTTTGGATCACACCCAACATATATCTTTTATGTTAAAAATGAATTGCTTCATGTCAAGCTTGGTTACAATCAAGCAATAAGACATCGACAGATTTTATTGCTTGATTGTAACCAAGCTAAATGTTTTTTAAACGCGCTGTCGACGCGCCGCGCGCCGTTTGTAGCGATACACCGCGATACGCACGCGATTCAGACTCAACGACTCTAACATCTAACGATGATCATCTATACGAACATTATAAAAAGGAATGATTTGATTGTTTGTTTGTTGTATTGAATAGGCTCCAAAACTACTGGACCGATATGAAAAATTCTTACACATTTAGAAATGTGAGGGTAAAAAAGTCCGCATGAAAAATTCGATAATGTAACCCAGCCAGAGTGTGAAATAAAATACCAAAAAACAATCTTATATCGCTTACGCTGCGGAAGTCATTGACAATAGAGCAAAGTGATATACTAAAGTTTTATAGAGGACATAAATATCTACAAAAAAGTCAGCGATACCATATGTCTAACTATTACAGTTATGTCACATCTAAACGTAATCTACGGTTTCACCCTCGTTAATTTGAGGAAAAAGGTTGTAGTGAGTCAAACTTAAAAGTCGGGCATATCCTGTCGCGGACTTTTTTATAAATCTTTTAATGAGGAACAATTCCGTCATACTTTAATTTTGTGTAACTTTAATCATTTACTCAGCGCACGCAACGGAATATCTCAAATGGAATATTTTTCATTTTACATCGATACTCCGTTCCTACTGGTTGCAGCGTAATATTATATAGCACTAAGCCTTCCTCAATAAATACACAATCTAACACAAAAATATCTTTTCAAATCGGACCATTATTTTCTGAGATTTTCATTATCAGTAAAATAAACTCATTTTCATTTTCCCATGGTTTATAATTATATAAAGAAATTCGTCGTGTTTAATACAAGCCCGAGAAGTAAAACTATAATCTACACTACAGCTCAACACCGAAGCGAAGCGGGGGAGGGCCACTAGTCTATCTATATATGATTATCAACACAGTGCCTACTTCAATCAGATTTAAATAACTTGAATTCAAGGATGGACAAGCAAAAAGTCTTCATAGGTATTTGAAATTTGTAGTTCAATAAAATTCGCCATTTAAGTTTACTATTACAAGCTAAAGTCAGTTAGCACGGTTACAAATGTACAATGCTCCCTCCCATTTTCGTTTTTGTACGCAACAGTTACGAATATCTACAAATTCCAAAACTGTTCACATGAAGCACTGCTAAGGGTCATGGCATTTTGGCTACACAAATATAAAATCAAAATCACATGTCGTTATCTAATGATACTTTACCGGAAACTAGTAATACTAGTATTGTAGCATAGCACGAACACGTCTCGTGCGTGACGCATCCACCGATATATTGTCCCAATTAAATGTTAATCGTTATTATTATTATTAGCTACCTCATTATAAGTTCGGTACATCATAATCATAAGCAGACCTTGTTGTCATAGTTTTATCGTGTGTATTAAAAAGTTAGATAGTTGTTACCAATAAACTGCGACGTGGTGCGACCAAGGTGCGACTATGAAATGAATTGGTGACAATAGCACTTGCAAACACTATGACATCCTATGGATATGTAACTCATATTTCGCAAATAGAATTCTTTGTCTGTACACGATACGAACACAATGTCTCCCGCTGCGTTTGTATGTTAGCAGGTATATGTCGGTTCGTGCCCAAAAAATTATTGAACTAAATTTCATTCGCTTTTCACCATCACTGAGATAATGTTTCACAGATGGTTTACATACCCTGCCTGATAGATACAAACAATAAGTGCCTTATTCCAAAACGCGGACTAAAGTTAATCTTGGTTTAATTTTCATGTTGTCTCCGTCTTCCCTTTAGCAAACAAAAGTGACAGCATTAGTTTTAGTCCAGGTTTAAGATTAGTCTACGTTTTGTAATATGGCGGTGTGGATTGTATTGTACCACATTAAAGTTTGTCACTGTTTTAAACCGTGTTAAGGCTGATTTTGTCTGACATTATCTAAGGTGAACGCCTATTTTTTTTTGAAGAAAGGCCATATACCTATATACAGGGTGTAAAAAATCCTTTAATGAAGTCGAAGGCCACGTATTTTCAACATCATGACGATAATTTTTTTCTTCTGGACCATACCTGGGAAATTTTTGGATATGGAGATATTGAAGGTCGAAGTCACATTTTTTTTAAAGATTTTTACATTAATATTTTCAAAACGTTATTTAGAAACTTTTTTATCGACGCACTTACACACACGCACACACATACACATAGGCACATTCTTTGCGTAGCGCCACAGCAGCGCGCCGCTATACATTGCGCACTGGAAAAAAATGTATTTTTTAACTTAAAAATACAAATGATTCCCACCACGCATAATATGTATTTTGTAATATTACTTGTTTGGGTGTACAGAATGCGTAGTTTAAGTCTTTGTCATAGGATTTTTTACACCTGTATAGTATCTATAATAGTCTATCCTACAGCAGATCAAACCGAGGACGAGTCACTAGGTATAAAAAAAAAACAAGCGATCCTTACAGTAGTCGCGTATGATGTGTAACATTTGAAACCTCACCTTATATTAGTAAAAAAAGAAATAAAACCTACTACAAAAGGAATAAGCCATTTGAACATTATGTTCTTAAATCAAATCAAATAGCGTGCGCTTTCGCGACTTCCTGTTACACACTTCCGTCCCATTTCACGAAATCAGTCCCAAAAATTGCAGGTAAGCGAGAGGAAAGATGTTACACATCAATAATAATTCTCACCTTGGGGTCGATACCGTCGGGGTTGTGGATGGCGCCGTCATGCTCAATGACACCGATGCAAGTGGCGCCCGCGCGGACGAGGTAACGGCACGTGTGCAGGCCCACGTTACCGAAACCTTGCACTATGAACGTTTTACCGCCCCACCCGGGGGTTGTGCCTGATGACAATAGAAAACGTTTATTGTATTGGCAACGACATAATTTCATGTTAAAGTTGCTATCGCTTCTTTTGTAATATGGTAACGAGTTTCTTGCGCCCGTTCTTTTTATAAGTTAACAGATGTCCTGTCCTTAATAGTATCTAGGGAAGCCCAAGCGGGAATTTTTGGATTTACTCAAGCTCGGCAGAATAACATACCTACGGGGAGCAAACTTGCACGTAGTTAAGTACCCCACTATACCTGAGCCATCTTTGTAGGGCCGAACGTCTAGGGCAGCAAAAACGAAATTTCAACAAACGGCCATGACTTTTGGTCGGGTCCAAATCGTCAGTCTTTTGAATAGGACCTTTTTTTTTTACAGTAAATAGGCTTACGCTTGACGGCCACGCGACTGATGAAGAGCGACGTAGCAGCCTAAGGTGGGACGCGCTTGCCTAGAAGAAACCGATTCACTCGCGACTTGAAGAGCCCCAGATTATAGGTATTATAGGTAATAGGAGCTACTGGAGGGTTCGCGTAACATCCCTTCTCAATGTCTGACGCGCTTGGTTATTTTTTCCTATATTCTACCCCTTCGTACGGCCACCCCCATATGATGCAAATCGTGGCAGATCAATTTTTTTTCCGTTCTACGAAACGTTACATGAACCCTCTAGTAGCTTATATTTAAAAGACTGCCCATTTGGTCGCGACCAAAAGTCATGACTGTTCGTTGAAATTTTGTTTTGATGCCCTAGACGTTCGGCCCTACATAGAGGGCTCAGATATGGTGGGAGTACTTAACTAGGTGCAAGGTCCCCATATATTATTCTGCCGCGCTCGAGTAAATCCAAAAATCCCCGCTTGGGCTATAATGGTGGGAGGAGAAAATTTGAACGATACAAAAGAACAATGTATATTTTCATTTATTATTAACAAACAATATAACGGGGTTTAAAAAGAATATGGCTGTGACACTGGAATTGCTCATGTCCATTGGCGACGGTGACGACACCACCAAGTGGACCTTCCACTCGTCAGCCTTCGAAGGCAATGAAAAAGGTAAACCTTTCCTTTGTTAAATAAACGGAATCTTAAAATAATATGTTCATAATTGCAAATCCATTGTAATTTTAAAGGATTTATTTAATATGGCAAAAATAGATATGACGCTGACTACATATAACTTTAATTTGTGTTACATACTAGCTGACCCAGCGAACTTCGTACCGTTATAAGTAGGTTGGCGGTAGAAAGGTGAAGATTTAGGTTGTATGTATTTTTAATGCCACACTATAAAAAAAATGTCCAAAAAAATGTTAGAGGTGGACAACCCTTATCACTTGAAGGGTATGAAAAACAGATAGTAGCCGATTCTTAGACCTACTGAATATGAATATAAAAATCTGTCAAGCCGTTTAGGAGGTTTTCAGTATGGTAACTAACATTGTGACTCGAGAATTTTATATAAAAGACAAAGGAACGAAAATGTCATAAGTGTTGTAAATGTTTGCTCATTGTGAAGTCCTGTCAAATGGCACTGCATGTGTCAATAAAATATTGAAAATAGGAGACAGTTAGAAAAGAGTGACTTATGATTAATCTTGCTTCCGTCCGCAACCATGTCTACTTGGACTTTAGAATTTCGTCTATTATATTAGGAAAAAAACATTTTCTTAGAATTTTTCCAATTCCGTCGAGCTATTTTTGCTTGATTGGCATAAGTACTAACATTCAAGCAGACAAGACAAGACAATCATAAAGAAATAAAATATTAAATTTTTAGTATTAGTAGATTATTATCATAATATTGAGCTTCTTCGTGCACGTTGCACGTGCAAGGCACGTTTAAGCCCTTGGACCCGGCTTCATCTGCAGTCGTTATAGCACCCACCAACCCAGGTTCGCATGAGTAATCATGGCCTTTTCTTCCTGGCATACCACAAATAAGGAAGGCATATGCTCCAGGAGTAGGCGCACTGCAGATTTTATGACTATTGGTTGCCCTTATAGACCAGGCCCAATGCTTTTGAAAATCGTAAAAAGTGAAAAATATTGGGTACTGGATGAAACCCATACCAAATACAAGAAACCATAGACAAGAACACATTAAAAAAAGAGTTTAAGTGAATTACGGGAGATTTGAAGTAGGGAAGGGTGGGTGGAGAGCTTTTAAGGGGGGAAACGGGTTATCATGATTTTCGGGAAAACTACAAATTCTATCGAAAAAAATTCAATGGCAAAATAGGTAATCAAAAGATCTAAAACTGTTGTAATTACACATTAATAGGTTAATGATGATGATGAGTATTAGTAGGATATTTGCTCTCACCGATCATGCTCATGTAGTTTGCCTCGTTGATGAAGTTCTCCAGTCCGTGGAACACTCCTCTGCCGGTGGCAGACACTCTGCCATGGATACCACCCTGATAAAACAAACATCAATACAAAACTTTATTCTTATTTCCAATTATTGTCTACTTAATTTAAGAAGAATGTAGAGGACAATTCACAATGGAACCTTCTTTTCGATTCAATCAACTTAGCTGCCAGAAACAGTTCGATCATCGAATTCAGTCTAACGATTTGCAGGAAGTCATCTAAACCGTTCGATCATCGGACTATTGGTAGGACACGATAGAATAAAAATGAAGTTCTAGCTGCAAGTCTTACTTGGTTGATGGGTTTGAAAATGGCGCAAGCATGAGGGGTTTGACGTTTAAGGACCAGTTCTTTATTGGTGTTTTACTAGTTATGACCTCTTCTTTCTACTTCTTTTCATTCTGGATTCGACCACTTCTTATAGAGTATAGCTTAATAATACTGCTGCGAGGACCATTTCGGCTTTTTGACCACTTCCTCATCCTCTCCTATACTTTTATTACGATGTGCAAATGTTATAAACAAGCGGTTCTAGTCAAGTCTGACCTGATTGATGGGTTTGCCAGTAACGCAAGCATGAGCGTTGATGTCTTGGTAGCCAACGGTCTTTGCGTAAGTATCGGCGATCCAGGACATCTCACGCTCGCCAGTTCCCATGTCTGGGGCTGGGACATCTACACCGGGCCCTGAGAACAAACGTATATTAAATGAATCCGGTTCCAAATATGACACATTTGAGAAAGGAAAAGGACAAAGCGGATTTTCACATCAAATTGGGATGCTCGGCTGGGAAAGTAAACATTATAAAAGACACTAGTAAGTGTATAGTGCTGTGATCAACGATTTAAAAACTTGGGTGTGATACATGCAGTGCGTGAGTAAGGTTGCCCCATAGAAAGATGATAGAGAAAAGACTGGGCGATACTCGCTAGAATAAGAAAATGATGGTTCAGCCATAACTAACGAACTATTGACCACCATTTGAATTCTTCTCTCTCACACTTATTATCTGCAACCAGTTTTATACTGAGTGTGGGAACGTTCAGTCCCTTCTATATGTCAATAGGTTGCCTTAGCTCTACTGGGCAGGGCAACAGGGTTGAGACCGACAAGGCGAGGTTCGCTGCAGCGAAATGTTAAGTTTCCCTGTTGCATTAGGTAATAATTTTCTGGGTCATGCACATTAATACAAAAACTATTTAAACCTAATATATACATTATTATACAAAATGTTTTACTTATAAGAAATACCGTTTACGGCTTAAATTCCGTCTCTTATGTGTCTATTTTTACGTTAACTTTTTATAATTTTTAACTTTCTCTGTTTCCGGATGATTGATCAATAAACCTTTGTAATTTGAAAAGTAGAAGTAGAGCAAAAGAAAACTTATAAAAAGTTTCGCTCGAAATGCGATCAGCGGTTCGGTTCACAGCAGATGGAGGTGCTCTGTATTTCTGTGTATTTAAATGCTGTAGTGGTCATAATGATATGTAAAAGTAGTCACTTTTGACACTTGAATGTTTGGGGTCTATGATTGATTATAATTTGATATAATTTCTAGCCGCGCAGACGACACTGGCTAAGCGTGACAGTAAAATCATACATGACCGCATTGCGAAACGTTAATTCAATTAAATACTTTTAAAAGAAAGTTTTATCTTATTCTTTTGCTTAGAAGAAGAGAAGGGGCAACTTTAATCAAACATTAAATTTAATTAAGATATCTGAGTGCTAGTGCTGGTAACGGAGATTTTGTAAGTTTTCATTGCAAACAAGGTTAAGCTATTTATGTGATGAAAGCGGAATTTAGGAAAAAGCAGTCTTATATGTTTAGGGCATTTTTTTCTATCGTTTATTTATAAACCATTTGTTGTTGACCCATTGACCAGTACGCTCGGTTACATAAATATTGATATTTAGAATTTTTGGCCCTATGCCAAGCTGAATGTAGGTACTAGTAGTGTCTGAAATTTACCGTTCCGTCTTTATATTCTTAAATTACACAGAGCCTAGTTTGACGGATCCTATTAATGTATATCGATATTATCTACGCAATGAGTAGACAAGATATTGTGCAAAAGGTTATAATCTTATATGTATATACAAACATAGTAAATGAAGTACATATCCTTCAGCTATCGCTTACGCTAACTTTATAAACCACGCAAGCAACGGTTATTATGCGGTTTTCACCATCAGATTTGCATTTCATAACCTTCCTATATAAATTGTCCTCGGAAGATGTATAACTGTTTTAATACAATAACTAAAATTATAATGTAAACCGAAGAGAAGTGGGGTCCAGATATCGTAAAGAAATGATAAATAAGTATTCATAAAAAAAAATATAACTATCATCATTGTGGCTTAATGGTGGTGGTAGCTATCGTAAAAGCAAAAATATTAAATATCAACTGTTTAAATTGAAGTAAGTAGTTTTTAAGAATGTGTATATTTTTAAATAACTTAGTATCACCACAGTCTATCTATATAATGCTTTACACTGTGGTAACACCATTAAATTAAATTTGTGAATGAATAATACGTATGTTATGTTTTTATTGCGATTTCAATTAGATTTTATTAACTAAGTAAGATATGAACTAAGTAACCTATAGCGACTGATATCAATGTGTTGTTTTGAAAATTTAATTAAGTTTATCACCATAGCGTGATGATAACGCAAGGATTGTAATCAGTTGCTATGTGATAAATCTCGGGATAAAACGTATACGGATAAGATCTTGAGTTTAATCGATAAGATCCTATTTAAAAAATAGGGTTATTGTTTTTTTATAATTAACATATTTTATATTGCGTAACAAATAAATCATGAATAAGCGATTCTAGCAAATTATACCTCTACTCCAAAAACTGTCTGGACTACAATCGCTAAACTCTACCAGTGGAACAATTGATGTACCGATTGGTCCCGATATTAAAATTTATTAACGTATAGGTATGGCATACTCGTAAATTGTTTGTTGTACGGGAGGGACTGCAATCTATGACTAATGTTTCCGCACCTAATCTTAGAATAAGTTCCAATTATTTAAAAACTCGTTCTCAACCTAAAGCAACGATGCTTTTATGAGGTTTGACTTTTTTTTTTAATCTTTTTTAGCACAATATATGATAATGATTCCAAAGCTTCCGTGACAATGGGGTAGCGTAGGTAGGTAAATACTATCGTCGGGGTTATTGACCCTTAATTACTGTCATTGACCGTGCGCTTCGCAGAAGGCCAAATCAATTACTAAGAATCGTAATCACAAGTATTCATACTTTTTTAAATTGTTGCTACAATGTTGTATACAACACAGGACCTTTTATGACTTGCAAATAAGTTGTTTTATACTTTCATGGCCACTAACATTATAGCTATCGGAGACTCATAAAAACAAGATACATGGTAAGAATCCCGGTAATAGCTATAAATTATTATGCTATTAAGCAAATCAGTTTTCATTATAGATAAGGCCTGAAATTTGAAAAGCAGGTTTTCGAAAGCTTTGAACTTTTAATTTTACATTAAGAATTGCCACAGGTTTCTATGTGGATTACTGTACTTACATTTATGTATGACTCATTACGAATAATAATTGTTTTTATCGGATTGATGTGAATCCGACTTTATTATTCATCTTAATCAGATGTAAAATTTAATCCAGATAAACCTCAATTACTTTATTAGCTTATTAGCCTAATTAAAATAGCTGATCTCGTAACTTAGGATATGGGATTGATAATAATGTTAGAAAAAAAAGATACATACTCGGTTCAGTGATCATCAAACCTCAGCGACACGGACGCCACATTAGGAATTGTTTGGGTTAAAATTCTGCAATGTTCAGAACGTTAAAAAATAATATTTATATTTAAATGACGTTATAAATATGCCCTACCCATTGATAGGCATTTTGCAAAAATCCACATTGGCTAAAATAGCTTAGATCTTCTACATATATTCTTTTCACATCTCGTCCAGACTGAGAGTTAAAATTGTTTGAAAATTTGTATAAAGGCTATTTCCTTGAGCGTTTACCCTTCCCGTGGCACTCTGGCTATCAGACTCAATCCAGGAAAATAATTTATGTACCCACTTAAATTAAAACATAAAGCATTATATAAACTACTTAATATTATAAAGCTGAATAATTTGTTTGGTTGAACGCGCTAACGCTAGGAACTACTGGTCCGATTTGAAAAAATCTTTTGTGTTGGATAGTGCATGTATCGAGGAAGCAAGGATACGAGGCATATATTGGCTATATAACATAACTCTAAAATTTAAAAGACTATATTTTTTTATTTTAATTACCTACGTAACAAAACTTATTTTTTATCTAAACTACGTTCATTAGTAAGCACTAAAGACATTTCTTTTTCCAAGTGAGACTCCTTTTGGTACATCAGGAGCGGAGCTTCGTTGCCTGCGTAATAATAATGTAAGATGGAATTGTTCCCCTTTAAAAGTTCTATATAGTACCGTGACGGCATATGTCTATTTAAGAGTGATCACAATAACATTTTCTAAAATTAATGCGGCTGAAACTACAGGGCACCTGTAGTGTATAATATTTGGCTATATAACGCGTAGAATATACAGTCAATCACTACGATACGAGCGGAAAATAGACTGGATTTTGTTATGTATTGACTAGGTATTTATTAGATATAATTTTATTATCACTTATAAAGCTCCACTTATATTACCTACCTATTTGATCACGCAACGTTGCGCACCTGTTAATAATAGTAAATTATGATCGTAATAATTCAATTTGAAATAAATGTGGTACCAAAATCTCTGGCCCACTTATTCCATATCTTGATAAGCTAATTTAAAAGAGTCGAGATTGAAAACTGATGGTGTAAAGTTAGTGCGTGTTTTTCAAATCAACTTTTAAACGCTAATTGAATTATCCAACGAACGATGTTGACAGGCTGATACTGTTACCGAGTCGATAAAAATACTATTATTATTATACTTGTGTCGCTGATACATAGATACTTAGATATTATTCTATTCACAACTCCTTAAATATCATGACCATGACAGCGCCTACATTGCTCTCCAGGTTGAGCCGATAAGCTTTTGGTTACGCAGAAACAAACTATCTTATCTGTTGGTGGGTGGATAACTTGCGAATTTTAATATAATTTTAAATAAGTTATCTTAATTTATAATTGTACCGTTACTACAACGATAATATAAATAAAAGAAATTGAGGGATGCAGTATTTTTCGTAATTTGAATGGAAAGGTGACCTTTCCAAGTCGTTTGTTGAAGGTCTTATCGGTGCGGACACACCGTTGATTTTTTTATTTGATATGAGCCGTTGGCAATAGAATCCATAGTTTGGTTGCACGTGGCAGAAACCACGTACGGTGTTCGCAATTTTTCCTTTACCTGTACTATAAGACGGTATTTCGTACCAAATTTCAAGATTTTAAGTTCACGGGAAGTACCGTGTAGGTTTTGATTTCCGTGCGAGTTTCGAATTTGCCGCATAAACGGCTGTATCTTTTGATTGCTTTGGTTTACAAGTTTGATTTTTTCACAGCTCCAAGGGACAGTAGACCTGAGTATTAGATATAAATTTCAGTTTGATACCTCCACGCGTTCCTGAGAAAAACCGTCTTGACAGACGGACGGACGGACGTAATCCGTCCGTCCGTAATAAATTGATCCTATAAGGGTTCCGTTTTTTCCTTTTGAGGTACGGAACCCTAAAAATGAATTTGAAACTGGTGGGGATGAAACACTGACTCCAGAACATCATCAGCAAGTTTTGAATTTACCTTTCAGTTGTCTGACCCATTACAATTATGTTTTTTGTACTCATTCTAGCATGAGAGAAACCTACTAAGTGATCCCTCAATACAAGCGTAACTTTACATTAGAATTAAGCTGTAACAACAGCCTTTTATTTTATTTGGAAACAAAACTTAGCTAGGCGTTGGCAGACCACCATTTTAAAAAAACAACTACAGTACGTAGGTACTACGCCGTCTTTTGTTCATGTCACCCAAATGCCATTCAATAGACAGAGACAAAACATGGAGTAACTAATCGAAGCGTAGTCTTCGTTTATTAATAAGGGGGTATAAGTCTCTCGTTTTTAGCGTGGTTTTAATGTAAGCTAAACTAAACTGGATTCTAACCTTATCTGACTTAAAAGGAATCCCACATAATTTATAGCTTAATCATCATTAGTTGATCGCAATTATCATAGCGATTCAGTTACATATTTAATCGTTTTTAATGTTTAGAATCATAAAACACGAGTAGAGAGTTATTTTTGTAGCAATCATTTCGTGTTACGTTACAAATGGTGAAATTGCTATCACTCATTGAGTTAGGTTACGCTCACGTCACGTTACGTTACTGTGCTTACGATCCAATTTTCGTATTTCTATCTAATAATGCAAAGCTACGTATATAGGGGAGGCAAACGTTTACATTGAATACTGGGAATGCTTGCTAATGCTGAAAAAGTTTCCGTTTTGTGAAGTGAAAATACAGTAGACAGCTCTGGTTGATTATTACTCTTAATAAAAATATTTCACTGGAACCTCACGTAAATTCTAAATAAACCATAATTAAGCCCTCCCCAATAGTAGAGTTTACATAAAAAAACCTGTTTCAAATATCAAACAAAATCATAAGACTGCTTTTTTGGCAATGCGTGGAGCTGGATTAGATTGTTAATTCTTATAACTGCAAATTGGCAAAAAACAGCAAGGCTCGGGATTGGTTGAGTTGGAAACAAAAAGAAATAGACGGACATACCACTGCGCTGGCGAGTAGTTTTTTTTCTGTGGACTTACCAATAAATCCTTTCTTAGCGAGTTCGAGGGTGAATCGACGGGTGATCTTCTCTAGTTCGTGTTCAGAGTATTCTTTGGGGTTGATTTTGATGCCTGCCTTGGCTCCGCCGAATGGCACGTCGACGCAGGCGCATTTGAAGGTCATCAAAGCAGACAGGGCTTTCACCTCATCCCTGGTCACGTCAGTCGAGAAGCGAATACCTGTAAGTGAAGATAGTTTTTTTGTGTCAATCTCAGTTACTGTGTAAGAAAAAAATGGATATTATAAGGATAATATTGCTAAACAAACTAAGTCTTAGAATAAATGGTAAGAAGTTTCATGAGTACCTGGGTATGGTCGCAAAAAATTGTACAAATATTATTTTCGTTTTGTCCCCATTTTATTTTTCTCATAATTTCGAAGTTATTTGATAAATGTCGTTTGTTGCACATTGTTCTGAATGACGAGCTTCTGTTTAGATTATTTTGACGAAATGTAACCTACCATCCCTAAAAAATATATGTAAAAAAAATATAATTTAAAAGGTAGTGCTTTCACTCCCATACAAAAAATGTTTGTCCAACTACCACCTTTGTATCAAAAATTGCCAATAATTCCGAAAAAAAAAATAGTTTTTTTCTAATTATTAAATTGTACTCATGCTTTATGATACTTTCTCAATGTGTTTCTAAACGTGCTTATTAAAATAGCGATTCAGTTACATATTTAATCGTTTTTAAAAAAGTGTCCAATTTTATGATGAGTGTGTAACGTCATGAATGTAACGTTTGTTTCTACCAGTTTCCTTTGTGTGATTTGATAATTTTTGCTATTTTCATAAACTGCAACACTATTAAGCAAGATACAACATTCAGAAATAAAAATCGGCCATATTTTTCCGAATAAAAATCGTAATTTGTGTTGACTTCAGATTTGTCGCCAATAAATATGGTTTTTTTGTATGTTTGATTGCAAGGTAAGTACTGCTTGTTGTGGTATACTGTTAACGTGTTTAGAAAGATGTATTATCACAGAAAACGGTAACCCTACGTCACAATCCGTAGTTGTTTGCAGTCAAATGATATTTGAATTTTAGGTCATGTCGCACGCTTTTTTGTGTCATGAATGTTACAATGTGTAACGAAATGTGTAACGTTACAATCATGACCGATTCTAAGGCGGAGATTACACTATTTTACTTAAAATATAACCTTACCGCGACTTTGTCAGAGTTAACTTTGGTTTTTTGAGAATCCTTTGAATGTTTATATGTTCGTTACTCAATCACGCAAAAACGGCTCAATGGATTTTGATGAAATTTGGCACACATTATATGTGTATACTATATTGAGTAACGAACATACAAACTTTCACATATATAATATTAGTAGGATGAAATTAGTTAAATATATATATTCCAGATGCCTTTGACAAATGCCGAAAGGCAAACAAAATATTGTGAAAAGTTACGAACCCAAAATTATTCGAAGTACGAAGAAATAAAATCAAAAAATGCAGAAAAAAATAAAAAAAGAAAAAAAAACACGGAATGTACCGAAGACAATAAAAGATTGAAAAGAAAACAGTGGCGAGTCAAAATCGTCGCAGAATGAAGTCAAAAGATACTGCGAAAAATGATAATATCACTGAAGTGTGCTGAAACTCATGAAAACACATTCTTGGTACGAAAACTACAAAGAAGATGGGCTAACCAAAGAATATTATATGAAGAAAAAATCTAAAGCCAAACGTTAATCAAAAAAATATAATATCACCACCACAGGCCTACAACTATTTAGTACCAGTAGAACTACTACAATAGGTTCTATTATGAACTAAGCTTTATGATGGTCATGTATGTAACGCTCTGTCATGTACGTAACGTGTGTTACGATGTCATGAATGTTATTTGTACAATTTTTTGCGGCCATACCCACCTATTATTTATTTATTTATTTGTATTCTGTTCATTGCATATTCTGATACTTAAATTAGTTTGCTATAGAAATCTTTTCTTATAGATTGAAATAAATTGCTGTGAGGCTGAGCTGTTAAAAAAATGTATTTTCAAATACACCCATTGTACACAGTAGGTATATTCATTGCGGGGGGATGGTTGACTGCTAAGGGTGCGACAAAAGATAAATACGAAAAAACGAACGAAGATAAATATATTTTAGACCCACTGCTTCACTTGAATGACGCCATATTTGGCATTAGTTAGGCTCGGGCCTAATTTGTCCGTAAAAATACCCTATCAGTTGATAAGTATTTTTTTGATATTAAAGTTGTTTTAAATTTTTTATATGTCCAACAAAGAAGGCATTTAAATTTTTGTCATCTGTTTGTGTCCTATACCTAATTTATTAGTAAATTTTACCGCAATTGTAAAGAAACTACTTAAACAGAAAAAAACATTTCTAGGAACGAGTACCTACTAAGTTTGGAATATCTATCTGTTGATCCAGAATTTGAGATATATGAAAAGCAAAGGTTATTAAAACATATTCATATTAAACAATACGAATAATTCTGTGAGCGCCAAAAATAAAACAGTGAAGCACTATCTACTTAACATTAGGTATTAATGCTATCACGTCTGACCTAGTCCTCGGAACTCTTTTTGTGATATGTGCCATGATGAAATACTGAATCGGCAAGCACACAAGCAGAGTATTATTCTCTGTTTATATATTTCGCGGCAGGGTTATATAAACACCATGCACGATAAGAAATGTCATATCGCGGAGTTGTATACGTGAGTATGTACTTATTAATTTTGTGTTTAATTTACTTTTCAGAAATAAGATAAGGATTTCTATTTTGGTATTCAAGGTGATATGTAATTTACCTGGATGTCATTCTCTTCTAATCGACAATAGGTGCACGGTTTTTAAAATCACCATTCTTTGTCACAACAACGCTTGTAGGTAGCATTGACCAACAAAGAATTGTTAAGTAGGATAGTTTTTACTATAATGCAGCAGGTTAGAAAATCGTTATAATCCAAGTACACCTTACTTAAAGAGGTAGGTAGATTAGACACTGCTTGAACTGAAGTGAATGTTTTTAAACTAACTCCAAAACAAAAGGCGATAGTTCCGTATATGTTCTAAAATTAAATGTAAATTAAAGACATATCTTTAGTTATTCAGACGTGTTTTATAGGAAAGCTTCCGTTTACTATCGGAGAGTACTTAGGTACTATTTGACGAAGTGGAACTAATGATGAGCGACATCTGTGCGGTGACTAATTTGTTGGAATGAATTTAATTGGAGATGTAGTAAATTAACCCCATTTAGCATTGTTGTAGGTACAAATCCAGACTAGTATAGAATAGTACAAAGAGACTCCTGCTTTTTGTTTATAATTTAGAGGCAGGGGTTATGAAGAGGCAACTGCAACTTGTTTTTTTTTTTTCCTTATATTAAATGCACGATTAATCTCATATTTATATAATTTATTATTTTTTATTTATATGTATTTATGTATAAATACCTAATTATATTTACATGTATTTTTATATTAATGTTAAATTGGCTTTCCTTGAGCACATAGGTACATATTCAGATGGATTCGATGTTACAAAGTAGATGATCTTAATTGGCCTTCAAAATTTTAAAAATATTTTTTTCATGTAGAAATATATCGAGCTGTGATTATCTTTACAATAAATAAATAAATAAATAAATGAAGACCACGGATAGCCACGAGAGTCGAGAACTACTCAACTCAATAAGTGCTATACCCATATCACGGGTTGTCTTGCCGGGGAGACATGATTAATTAGTTTATTAATTCATTGCAAAATAACATTGCTAAGCAATTAATGTTTTTCCCTTTTTCGTGTCGGTTCAGAATTTTTTACAATGCATAGGTATAGTAAAGAGGTGCTGACAGTGAAGTTCCACGAGAACTCCTCAACAATGTCCCTAAATCTATGTGAGATTGTTAGCAGTTTACATTGGGCACTTGAAACTTAGATAAATTACAAACCGAACCTCTGAAAAGTAAGAAAATTGTTTTTGAAGAGATTGTTTTGTGAAAATCAGTTCTTCATGGTGACCTGATAAGTGCTCTCGGAGACAATGGAACTCTTCAATGATAAACAGTGCACACCCACATTGGATTTTTTTGTGAAAGAGAAAATGTTGGCCAAATAAGAAGGTAAGTAATTGGTCCATGACCTTACCGGTACTTACAAATACAATTCCTAACATTAATTGGATATGTCGTAATAAATATTGATGTTTGCCAAACTAGTACAAAATGACAACTTAAATCTTTTTACATGACTGCTCAGAATTATGAATATGTGGTACGTAGGATGATTTGGTCAATCAAATTTTCGCAAAAATCCTAGGGATTTTGTACTTTTACACATAATCTAAAATTTTCAGCGAAAAAAATAAAATAACCAACTTTTTGCTATTTCATAAAACGTGTAATTATTCAATAGGCATTGAATTTTTTTGGATAGGATATCGATCTAGTTTTTCCGAAATAAGCAATAAACCGTTTTCCTCCATTAAAAAAAGTAATAACATTAAGAAAGGTCGAGAACCGAGACGACTCTTGCATTTTCTTAAAAAAGTTTCCAAGTAATATATTTTTTGTATACCAATAGAAAGTACAGGTTACCGCGAACAAAAATGCGCATCAACTTTTTTGACTGGAGTTTTTTCGATTAAAAATAAAGTAACATTTTCGATAAATTAAATAATTTCCATGAAAAAAATTAGAGCGTGGTTGGGATTTAAAAACAACCGACTTCAAATGTTAATTTGACTTTAAATTTAGATATTAGTTAAGAATATGCATTGGTGTCGAGTCTGGCATGATTCTCTTGAACCTAAAGTGAAATTTGACAACAGTGTATTCTTGTCATTTATCTAGGTTTTGTTTTTATGAAGTCGGTTTTTACTTTTTGTTAAAAAAAACTGTTTTTTATAAGCCAGAGCAACATCAACTTACTAAGTATAGATGTCTGACCTGCGATCTCTCGTTCATATTTCGTATCATAATTAAACACGATATTTGTACTGTTCGTATTTGAGAAGTTCCGTTGTTTATCTCCGAAAGTATTAATGAGATCTTCACCAAATTAATATGGGAATATCTCGCTTACAAACTTTACCAAACAAAAAAAGAATCATCAAAATCGAAAACCTCGGAGGTATGCGCGAACAACAGTAACAAAATATATACAGTAGGTAGTTA